TTTTAAATTCTTCATTTATTGTCAAATTATTTTTATATATGTAAAGTGATATTATTTAAATATATATTTAAATAACATATTCTTGATTCTTCTTGAGTTAGTGCTATTACGCACTTTTACTCCATAATGGCTGGGGGGCTTATCTCTACCCCACACTAGGCTTTAACTAGGCTAAGAAATCATATCATTTATTTGTCTTTTAGTTGATGACGGACCTTAAATCAGCATATCTTCCTGAGAATCCAGAATAACAGATGTTATAAAAATAATTTCATGTATCTTCGAGCAATGGAAAGGATTGTATTTTTTGTCGTCCTTTACTTCCAATGAAGCACAGGGATCACACCATACTCTTATACTGGATTCACACGAGAGCTTTGTTAATAATTGTAGCTGTCATGTTTGTAATTTTAACTGGCAGTTGTTACTTTCAATGTAAAATAAAAATTATTTGCAACTGACAGTTAAAATTACAAACATGACAGCTACAATTATTAACAAAGTTCTCGTGTGAATCCAGTATAAGAGTATGGTGTGATCCCTGTGCTTCATTGGAAGTAAAGGACGACAAAAAATACAATCTCTTTCAATCTCTTTACAATCTCTTTTATATAATAGCTAAAATTACAAACAAAACTGCCCGTGAATCTAGATTATACTCATTTCTAATTATTCCTGATTTCGATAGCAAAACAAGTTCAAACCAAGAACATAGAATTGAAAATAGAATTAAACCGTAATTTTGAATACGATTTACCTTAAAATTACAAAATCACGTTGATTTTAACTTGGGTAGTTCAGCATAAACTTGAGGAATGAATGATATTTTTTCATACAAAATCAAAAAAAAAAAACTTATTACATATATACATCGTAAGTTTATATATTTTAAATAAATATTTTGTGAAAGTAGTTAAAAAGTGTATACATATGATATGTCTAATAATCAAGTTACAATGATACATCGTGTAAATCGATGTTTTTGCTTTTTGATTTCAGATGTCAGTTTAAAAGTTTTTACAGCTAACATTACAACCAGAATTCTCTTGTGAGTCCAATATTATTCGATTTCGTGTTTTTCAGCTAAAACTATTAAAGGACTATCTCACTGCCTG